CAGGAGCATAAACAGCTCTATTCTGGCGCACATGGTCGATTCCAGACATCGGCTGTACCCCAACGAAGCTTTCCGAGTGATCTACAGGGTCCTACCAAATTATTCGAAGTCCCTGGGTCAGCGCCTGCCAGCAACAGCTGAAGCGACCGCTATTAGGCTGATGAAGCCACGTTGTGTGCACAAAAAAACTTCCTACAAGCCCCACAGTTGGCGCGGCCCACAGTCACATAGCAGCATGCAGTCATCCACGATCTGTTTGTCTTCCTCCCCCTGTTCCCCTCCGTCTCTCCGTCCCTCTCCCCTAGACTGCTCCATGAAACCCTATCCTCACAACCAACCTTTGCTTATCGACCCCACCCCCATTCCCAAGACTCACTTGTCCAAAAAGACGAACACGTTTGAACTTGAACCCAGTCTCCATATAAATGTAAGGCCTGACGAGAATTTGTCGACAGAACACGTATGCTCGCCAAACTAGACATCTGAATCTGATAATTATCGGTTGCATTTATAATTTTAGTTGCCATATCCTGATAAGTTTGCTTACTGGCGGCCAGAAAATATCGATGGCTCCTTAACAAATAGCAACGGTTCGGTATTTGGTTTTCACTTATGCGTAAAATGAGATTTCTGTCATAAATTTTCTACTTGTTGGAGACGACGAATAGGGCACTAAGAATGCATACCTTTGTCGCCCTGAGCAATATGTAGATGAACCCATCGTTCAACCGAAGGGCCACGTGAAGGTCTCTGCTTTGTTGAACCTTCTTGGTTTCCTGAGAGACATTCAGCTCCTGCCTAAGTGTGGGTAAAGAGCAAGAAAATACAAACGCTAGTGAGTGACAAGAAACATTCGCTTAACTGGCTTGTATTTTGACAAAAACTCAGCATTCAGAATTTGTGTAGGCAGAAAATGTTAATGCCTTGCGCCTAATAAGGAAGGAAGGTAACGCTTCACATGTGAATTGCTATTAATAAGAATACAGCAATAACAGAACGCAAAGGACACCGTACTTGGAATTCACCCGGAAGATAAGTGTTATTTTGTTAGTTGATGAAAAGGGGGGGGCGAATTTTAGGTTCAAGGTTGTGACTAAGTTTGGTTTTATATTTGCGGTTGGACACTTAGGAGGTATCGTTCGTGAAATCTGGCAGAATGCCATCTTTACTGCGAAAGGATTCCTATGTCCGTGTCTTGCCAAATAACGCAAAGTTACATATGCTTTATAGCGCTGTCATCGCACATAACCCCCATCGAACGTTTTCAGCATTTTATTAGACGAGGTTTCCTATTCGTTAATCTCAGAAGGCTTAAGGAACTCATGTTGAATATGTGGCAGCTATTTTGTTCGTTGTAATAGGAAATGTTTGGATATAATTATAAACCCAGCCAAGTGAGTCCGGACCAGACTACATTTTTGCAACACTTCGATGCCCATATGCGTATTCAGGTCACTAAATCGTACCAGAAAACTTTAACCCGGATGTCTTTCTTGAATACGTTTACAAAACACATAAGCTTCATTCAAGATTTGTATGCTCTAGAAAGTTTATTCGCATTAACATTTCGATTTTTGGTTAAAGGAATCCCTACTTCTACTTGGGACCGCAGCAAGGCTCATGTGCTTGTCAATCCTCGGCTCTAACGGTTCCAATTCATCCTTAGACTAGTGCCGCTTAGGCTGCATAACTCATAATAGATGAAACCGAACTTAATTAATTACTCGTGCATTGACTATGCGAATTATTCTGTCTTTTCGTGAGACTGATAAGATGCGTGAGTTTTCCTGGGCTTTGTAGTCTGCACAAATGAAGTCGGTAATAAACATGTTGTTGCAAGCATGGACAGGTTGTCACACAGTCCTCACGATCCCACCTCTGGCTGTCCCGGCTGCGTATATCTGTAAGATTCAGCTGCGCGTGAGAGAAAGAACAGGGGAAAATAGCAGCTGCGCAAGTCTGCCTCAATAATTCGCACGTTGGTTACGGCTGTTGGGACGTCGGTGGACGTCTCCGCTTGAGACATTTAACTTGTCACTTAGGAAACTGAGTTGCCAGAATATCCGTCGACCGGCATATTCGGACTTTAACTTATACTTTCTAGGTCAGTGTTTAACTGGGTGGGGTATATAGTCCTCTTCTTATTAAAGAGGCTCATCTGATAATCCAAAAGGATCAAAGTCTAAAATGTCTCTTGTGTGAGCAACCATAGTTAGAGATTTACTACGCATAACTAAAATGAAACGACATTATCAATTAGAAACACCTTGAACCGATTCGAGGGTCTCAAAATGGCATTTTCACTTTTTTACTACCATAAACTGAAAAAAAAACAAACACTGATATACGGTTGCCTCTCCATCACCCTACTTTGAGTTATTTTATGAATTGTGTTCTGCTACACACGAACAACAGTAATGCTAGTTTTGCCTGTTTGATCAATATCTGACCGCAAGAAGTTAGCATTAGACACATACCAGGCGTTGGATGTTAATGATTTTTAAGTCAGCGGATCGCCAGTCGCAAGTTAGAAAACCTTGATAAGGGTCAGACCTTTAGTATTCCTTTGGCAGATAAATCGTAACGAACGATTTGTAATATTCTGTCTTACCCAAAGGAACATTTGAATGCGATGCCGCATAGTAAAAATGTCAATATGCGCAGCATCCGGTACCAATTGTGCCCAACTGCAGTTTGAAAGTCAAGTTAGACAAGCAATTTAGTGTTGCCTGCATTTGAGAATAGGCAAAACAAAGTGGAGAACAACAGCAATAAAGCTTATGGGAACAGACGGCCAGAATGAATCCCGTCTAAAAAAACAATTGCTCAAATTCTGAGAAGAGGTTTTTGCCGCAAGTTCGGAGAGGATCACACGAAAAACACAAGACAAACTGTGAATCGATATAAGCAGGGAGGCCTCGTAGACAATAAATCATAAACCCTGCCACGTTCTGTTCACATAGAGGAATCGACTGCCGTTTCATGATCAAAGTCTTTAATTGTTTGCAACTTCTGACAGTGCACGCCAGTAAGGACCAACCTGTTAATATACACGCCAACTTTCTAGCACCCTTATCCTGAGGGCCTTTATTTATGGTAATTTTAATTTTTATAATAAGCTGAAACATGAGAAACACGCAAAGATTGAGCTTTTAATTAGACTTTGCTTCATATAAGAAGCGATTATTTTAAATGCCAATACAAGCTAACGTGCGAGTCCCAGGAAGTAATTGAGAAACGACCCATTTCTGCTACTGGTTTCTGCTATCACCTCTGATGAGGAATCCGCGACGGAGAACGAAAAGTCGGGCGAATAAACTTATTGTCCCAGCGATCGAGTCGTCTTCTTCTCTATTTTAAATGCAATGTTATACTGATGCTGCAATATGTAAGCCTCAGCAGGATCATACTTACCGTACACTAGAGGGGAAAAACGTTTTCTGAGTTACATCTTGAATGCTACAATATGCGCTTTTATTATTTTTTATGCAAACATACATACACATACTGTATTCGAAAAACAACAAAATAGTATATCATATGCAAAAATAAGCCAACTAATTTTATGAATTTTTAGTAGTTTCTTTGCGTTCAAAATGGTTCAACAAATTTCAGTCCATTTTTAAGTTTTATGCAAGTGTTTACCGGGTAGCAGAGGGCAGCCTGTCGACAAAGGCGGATGGAACAATGGATGAACAAAGAGTAAGCTTGTTCTAGCCGAAAGACTGGGAACGGTTCTGTCTGCATTGCAGTTCCAGAGATCTTGTTAGCCTCGAATTTTATCTCATAGACCGGGTCGGAAACAGAGCAACTAGGAGGAAGGTTGAAGCCATTGGTTTAATTGAAAGAAAATTTTGATATGTTAAAAATATAATTGATAAATACTCCTGCAATGACCGCATAATTACCACAAAAATTATTCTGAAGCACAAACATCAACTACATTCCTATTTTACTTTCCATTTTTTGAGTGAAAAAGTGGTGATAAGTGAGGCCAAGTGACATTAAGTTTACACTTTCTGAGAGAAAATAAAACTGTTAGTTCATAGGCATGCTTCCTGATTTTTTTCAATTGTTGTCGGTGTACGGTAGCGAGGTGAGTTTTGACACTTCATTTTCCGTTCTGCTTTTTCCGCTTAAAAGGTTTGGTAGTTTTTGATAACACATTAAACCTAGAGTTTTTAAAAATACCAAAACTTTTCGTAATCCCCAAAACCCAAAACAATAGGCTGCATTATAAGGGAACGGTTTGAAATCATTAGCGTTCATTGAGGACTGCCGTCTCTATTAATGCTCCGATCTCTCATCAGTCTTCAGTTGACAACCAATAGAAAACTGATTAAACAGCCATATTGAAGAAACGTTTTGGCTTCTAAAAGCAATTTTGAAAATGTTAGCAAGTGAATATACATTTAAGAAAACAACTCTGAGATATTTATATAATATTATAACCATTTTGGAATACTTTTGCATAATTTAATCCAAGATTTGAATTGCATTTTCAAGAAAAATAACACAATCTATCAGTAACTTATAGATAACTGGGTTGTATCGATTGGCCTGCACTGTACTTTAATTATAAAGTAGGTAATGCTCCGTGTCGCCAGGTAATTATTGTTCACAAATTTATTTCAACTGAAGGATTAAGGTGAGGTTATTTGCGCTGCCTTGGAACTTTAATATAGAAATATAAAGTGGAGTTTATTGATGATTATGGAACCATCGGTACAAAATATTCAGAAATGGAAACATCAAGGCAAGTGAAGACTCGTTCGAAAGTAGCATAGAATGTCACATATGATCGATGTGTGCTCAAATGTTTCTAAAACATCCATTACCTGTGTGATTGTAAAAAGTGGAAGAAAAAACAATGCTGTAAAATGCACTGTTCCAAATAGTGACGATTAGAAATACATGCTGCGACAGACGGTACAATTTTTAATCAAGTACTTTACTTATGTGAACTGTAATGTACGATACAATGAGCATATTTATGAGGACGTCCTAATTAGGATTCTCCAGTATATCAGCGGTATGTTCTTAGGTTTAAAAATTTTTTGGCAACAGCAAACAGCTTGCCAATTTGGAATAAGTTCATGCTGACCTGACTACAATTATAATAGGGAGCTTCAGCAACAAGCACATGGCCAAAAGTCGACTTCCTTTTTTATCTTGCAGTTTTGGATCCTGTTAATGCAAAGCAATGTGACCAGTTATATTTTCGGCGGGTGTTATTCGAAAGATTCCAGTCTGATTAGAATTATTTGCCCAAACCAAACGCATCTTCTCACTTCATGTGGGTTTCCTCTATTGGGAAAGTGTGCGCTTTCTAATCAATGCTTTGATATGGGGGAAGAAGGCGATTCAAAACGGATTTCGTTAAGGAGCTCTCAGAAGCGACAGACCTCCTTCATTTAGAGCTGCTTTCTAATTCTCCCTGTCCAAAATTATTTTGCCCTGTTTGTTTTACAAATGCTTTGTCGGAAAGGCTTTATAGGTAATACAACCAATTGCGTCTCTTATGAAATCCTATGAATTCAGCACGAAAATAGGTTTTACGCATGTTCAGCCGACGATGCGTCCCAAAACGTCTTGCCGCAGTAAAGAAACAACTATTCTCAAAAGGAATGCATAGTGTTGTTCAGAAAGTAATAGTATGTTGTTGAGAAATGCCAACTTTTTAGAATACTGGGAAAATCCGAAAAATTGAAACATCGGATTTACTAAGGAACGTAGGTTTTGAAATACGTTTATAAATAACGCTTTTATGAGGTGTTAGCCTATTATGCGCAATACAAAGTAGACCACTACCAAGGAGCTTAAAGTTCGAATACGTAAACAAACATGCTTGCACGAGAAGTGCCAGTGGTTTCTTCCGTTTATACATTGGTTGAGATACGTTTGACTAAAACAACTAAATTTTACTACAGTAAGTCAGCAAGGACGTCACATGAGTAGGATACTTTATAAGTTCACATGTTAAGATATCGGGCAGTGACTAATAAATTCACATAGCTTCTCATGTGCAATCGTATACATACCACTTTTTCCGTATAAAGATAATTTCCTTTTAGCGCATTTCTTTGATATTATTTCGGGTGTTCGACAACGACCAAGTTCAAATCGTTTCAGGGTTATCAATCTATTGTCCATAAATAAGTGCTATGTTCAAGACGTTTATGAAAACTTGTGAAATAATTTATTTGTTCAAAGTGTTTACCAAAGTCGTGGGTTTTTGACATGCGTCATAATGCGGCTGTCTATATGAGTCATGTTTGTAGTCGCACCCAAGTGGATTGACTTATTTTTAAATAAACATCACAAAATAATATTTCTACAGCCAAGCAAAAGCGTTCTATAGCAAATGATCTACTTTAAAAAGCGTTTTATCAGATATTTCGATGTTGAATATCTGCGTACTTTACAGGTTGAGAAGGCTGAGTAAAGATGTGAATGGGTAAGTTCAATGGATTCTTTGACATTCCAGAATGTTAGGCGTAAACCTTCTGCCGAACTGACAGAATTCAGTTCTCATGTGTCTATTGGTGCAGTTTTAGACATATTTGTTTACTCTTAGGCTCGTTATAAATTGTAAATGCTCAAGAGATTGGCAAAGTTTTTGCGAAAATTGGCAATCTTGTGTTAGTTCCGTTTCATGTTCTTGTATTCTTTCAAAGTCAACTGTGGGTGGAAATTGTTTGGACATCATTCATATAGGGCGCGACAGGGGAGGTGGCGGCATTTCACGGATGCTTATATATAGGCCTGTTTACGATGACATTTATCGGTGTGGCAGAAAAAACCACGCCGAACTATTTTC